CCCAGTCAAGTCTGTCCCGTATTTAACAAGTGAAAATAAAATAAAATAAACAATAAAAGGTGAATCAAATAGACCATTACGGCAAGGCTGGGATGGTGTATTTGGTAAAGTAAATCTGTTGGGCATCTTTCTTTGCCTTTAGACAATAATTCTGATGGCAAAAGAGCCAAACGGGACAGGCCAACGGGCTGTAGAGTCCAACGCTGCTGAGGCACTTGGGAAGTCAGAGCCACTTCTTAACCTAGGAGCTCACTAGCCTCTCTAGTCAATTGGCATGATTGAGTGAGACCTCGTAGATTGTCAACGGCCACAGTAGTCTGGGTAATAACCCAAACTGGAAGCACCAGAGCTTAAGTTTCCCTGGGAGTGCAGTGTTGTTAATCCGCTTGAGGTCATCAGCCAGGTTCTCCCTTAGTTGTTCTAGTTGCCACGTATCATTGAGGTCTGCATTATATTACCGTCACAGGCTCTTTAGGGGCTTCTCTAAGACTGTTGGAATTGGTTCTTCACTGATATAGAATTGCTCAGCTGTCGGTTTTCCTTTTATGATGGAGATGCTGCGAGATTTACTCAGCTTAAACTCCATCCTTGCCCATTCTATGTTTTCCTGGAGCTTCTGTAGCAATCACCTAGTACATGGTTTAGTTGTTGTAATGATGGTCATATCATCCATGTAGGCCCTAATGGGAGGAAGACGAAGGCCACTCCTGAGTCTCTCACTTCCCACTACCCACCGGGATGCCCACATGACCAACTCCATTGCCATGATAAATGCCAGAGGGGAAATCGTGCAGCCTGCCATTACTCCAATTTCCAGGTACTGCCAGGCTGTGGTGATGCTCTCAGCTGTCACACAAAACTGTAGATCCTGAAAGTAGCTCTTGACCAGTCCTGTGATGTGGTTTGGTCCACAAGATCTCGTGCGGAACTGACCCAAAGGCATTGGCAAGTTCTAAAAACACCACATGAAGGTCTCTTCGTTCTTTCTTGGCAGTTTGAATTTGGTGCCAGACGATGCTGGCATGCTTCAGATATCCTGAGAAGGCCCGGATGTTGGCCTTCTGCACTGATGTGTCAATATAGTTGTTTCTTTGCAGGAAAGCAGATAGCCTTTGGGCCAAGGCGCTGAAGAAGATCTTTCCTTCTACGTTCAGCAGGCTGATCTGGCGAAACTGGCTAATGGATGAGTTCTTCTCCTTAGGGATAAATACCCATTGATATTGACTCGTTTAATAATAGTCGGCATATGATAAATAACTGTGTAATTGTACTTTTTGCATTATTATGAAGTTATGATTGCACACTGCCTCCAACTCTTTGATATGAAGTATGATTTGTTTGCCAAAAAACATTAAATAAATAAAGTTGAATACTTTTACAGTATTTAAAATAAAATTTGAATTGACCTAAAACAATATTTAGGTTTAATCTGCAAAAATAGCATCCAGATGGATTCCAATCCACCACAGTCAGTCCACCAGAGTAGTATTGAGCTTCTCATATGGGTTTTGGCAAAATATAAAATGTATGACACAAATGAGACATTAATTTTAAATGCATCATGTTAAAAAAAAGAAGAGATTGTGGTTTGTTTTAATCTGAATTCATGATTGCATGCTGCTATTTACAGTGACTGATCTTGCAAACATGCTTTGGGAGAAATGTTTACACCAATAAATGTTTGGGTTTTTTTTCAATTTTGCCCGGTTGTTGTTTTTTTCTTGTTCCGGCTTTAGTTTTGTTTTCGGCCAATTTTTTTGTTTTGCCCCGGCCTCTTGAGTTGCTTGGGGTTTCCCGGTTTTTTCAGGTTTCCTTCTTTTTCTTTCCGTTTTGGGGGCGGGTTGTTGATTGTTTTGCGGCGGTTTTTATATCTGAATGCGAATGTGGAGTTTAGTCTGTTGGAATTACTGAGTTACTAGAAATAAGGTGAGTCAATTTAAAATGAAATTGAGCTGTTTTTCTTTTGTTTTTGCTTCTACTATAAATGCATAACTGTAAGTATGTGATCCAAAATTAAAACAAGCAAAGAGATTGATATGATTATGACTCATTGGGTGTGTCAGGGCTCTCACTGGAAACAGCCAAAACACACACTTAGTGCCAAATCTATTTCTATCTATCTATTTAGCTATTTTTTTCCCTTTATTCAGAAACGTGTTACATTATATTTCATATGATATAAAAAGCCTGAAAGAACAGAAATGTAAAGCATATCAATGATATTTTCATCTACAGAGATCATGTCAGCTTTTGGTTTCCTCGCTTCGTTGCCAGAGGATCATTTCGTCTGTACGATCTGCCTGAACGTCTTCAGTGACCCGGTCACTACACCTTGCGGTCACAACTTTTGCAGGACCTGCCTCACTCAGCACTGGGACAGAAGTGAGTTATGCCACTGTCCAACGTGCAGTAAAAGATTCTATGTGAGGCCCGAGTTCTCCACAAACACCGTCATCGCAGAGATTTCAGGCCAAATCAAGAAGAGGAAGGTGGAGACACTTGAAGACATGGATGCACCGGGGAAAGTGGCGTGCGACGTGTGCACTGATTTAAAGTTCAACGCCTTGAAGTCTTGCCTGGTGTGTCAGACGTCGTACTGTGAAGCCCATCTAGAGCCTCACCAGAGAGTTCCTTCTTTAATGAGACACAAGCTGATCGAGCCAGTGGAGAATCTGGAGGAGAGGATGTGCAGGAAACACGAGAGGATAATGGAGTTTTTCTGCAGAGATGATCAGGTGTGCATCTGTCTGCTGTGCAGTGAGATAGACCACAAAGACCATGAGACAGTACCTGTTGAAGAAGAAGGGGCTCAGCAGAGAGTAAGACGATGCTGAATTTTATTTTGTTACATTTTTGTTAAAATGAGAATGCGGATCCTTGAAAATGACTGCTTCACCCAATTTAATGGCTTAAAATTGTACATTTCAGGAAAATATTGAGTCTCAAAAAGCAAAGATCAAACTGATGATTGAGGAGAGGATGGAAAAGATAAAGGAATTTAATGAGGGCTCCGAACTGCGGAACGTGAGTATTGAGGCAAATTTCCAAATGCAAAATTTGTCACATTAAGGTTTAGGGTGTTCAGTGCACACCTACATGTTTACCAATGGAGCCCTTTTCTTTCTACTGCAGGTAAAAGCAGACCAAGAGATTGAGGAGAGCAATACACTATTCAGTAATCTGATAAACCAAGTAGAAGTGATGCAGGCTAAACTACGATCAAACATTCAAATCAAGCTCAGAAAGTCACATGAGAAAGACGAAGCGGTAATTCAGGAGTTGCACGATGAAATCGCAGAACTGCAGAGAAAACACTCAGAGCTGGACGAGCTTTCACAAAATGAGGACCACCTGTGGCTCTTACAGGTAAGTTGTACAGACTGT